TCAGTTTGGTGTGCTGCGCTTGCAGTGTTGCCGATTGAGAGCTGAGGACGACTGAGGAGAGAGAAAAGAAATTCCAGCTGAGTTTACGCTCCGCTGGCTCTCATCCATGCGCGCTCTCTCTCTCTCTCTCTCTCTCTCTCTCTCTCTCTCTCGTTCTCGAGCGCCACAGCAAGAGTTCTGATTGGCTGAACCTTCATGACGTATTCCAGCCAAACTCTTGAACAGCATCACAAACCGCCACCAAGGCCAACGGTGTAATTTGGAGCTGCACCAAATTGAACATCTAAAGTGCCTTTGATGACCTCATCAGAATCACTCAGTCATCATTAAAATGGAGCAGAATCATGAATTATCGTCATCAAACATTTACAAACAATGAGTCCTCACATTTTTAAAAAATATATTTTATCCCATTTTCAGTGGATGAATGTCATTTGGGCACGTCCCACTCACAGCATGGTCCACGGTGTGTCTCATTAAAATAATACGATTTGCTGACAATGTCCACCCTGTCATTGTCAGCAAGCTCACATATATTTCGCTTTGTATGCCCTTGTCTGATAACAGTATTAACAAAAAACTCTGGAAGCTTCACCAAATATGAATCTGTAACAGTGTAACATTTACCTGATACGGTAAAATCTCTCCATTGTGGATTCCGGGGCTCGTTTATGTCATGTGTAATTCCAATGTCTACCACTAGACTGTGGCACATTATATACAGGTACTTTGATGCTGGGTGAAGTTGAAAGAACGAAAACATGAAGTACTTTCCGATTATTAAATGTTATTTCCCTTCAGTCCTGCTTTTTATGCCTACAGAAAGCAACGGCTGTAGGTTCATTTTCCAATGTGCATTTTTGGGCATGATCATTAATGTATAGTATATTTAGGATGGGTGAGTCCTGAGAGCAGGCATCAGTATCAGGTGATATGATTTCAAAATACAGGTATAGGGGTTCTTGTAAAGGATGCTAATGATTTAGATTCATCGTTGAAAAATTTGATCAAAGGTGTCCAGGAAAACACAATCAGCACCCAGAAGACTTCCCGCCTGCAATTGTCTCGTTGCAGGTGTACCTCATAAAACGGCCTCTGAATGTACAATCTTGCAGTTGCCATTTTTATTTGGCCTGTTTGGACACGGAGGCATGACCGTGTTAAACCTAAGGACTGAGACCCCTTTTTTGTCGCGGGGTCTCTTCTCTTAAACTCGACACTTTCCCCTGCCTCGTGTGAGCCATTAAAAAGCAACGACACAAGCCACAGTGGGTTGCATTGTGCCACGAGGCGCCAAACGACTCCAGATTGATTGCATTTGGTGTTTACTGGACATCAGGCCTGGTAAAAGTGTGTCAAGTGATCAAATCACTCCTTGCGCTTGTTTTACGGCCCCTTGTGGGAGAAATAAATGGAGCGACTTAATCCGAGTACCATGCCGCAGTGCCGTGCTTTTCGGTGAAGCCGTAAATTAGACTTGCACTTTCCTGAGCTGCTTGATCCTCATTTGGCTGTAAAATTTGCATGTGTGCCAATGCTGACTCATTCATAACAGTTGGAAGAGGGGAAAAAAAAAAGAATGAAAAAAGGCATTCATTATGTGGAGAAGGCATACAGTTTGTAAAAGTGACCTCTGTGTTGTGTTTAAACAATTCTGTTTGATTGACAATATGTCCGACCCCATAATATTTTCTTGTACCCCTTGTCATTTTTGGCAACCATGTCCTGGCACCTAGACTGGGTCAAAGATCCAGAGCCACTTTTAAGTGACGGCCGAAACATCATCATGTCGAAGTTAAAAGGTAAGCAGAGCTGCATTGAGTTTTGTTGGATGGACAAATTACCATCGGGGTTCCGATCCACCTGAGATGTGATTTCTAATTCTTATTTTGATTACTTATAAAATATGAAAGAACACACGTAACACCTTCCAATGTTCCTGACTTAGGGGTACCATATGTTTGATTCCTAGCCTTATGTCGGATGCCCAGCGCATATTAGAGCAACTCGCTTTTTAGAAATGTTTAAATCTTGACTTATAACTTATTTATACCCTCTTGCATTGGGGTGAGCAACACTTAGTTTGCAATTAGTCTTTTGCCCTTCTTTAGTCCTTGACATCTTGGCCTGTTTTACTGCCGCTTCTCCTCTCCCCTTTCCTGTTCGAAGAGGAGGCTAGCGATCCTGATGTGTTGGAAGAACATGGTTAAATGAGGCAATTTTGGCTTCACAAAAGCGCCATTCATTTGCAGTCTGGACACGGAGGGATGAACATCTGCTCTGGAGGGCGTCTCTGAGTCTTTTGAAATCCCCAATAACACGACAAAAAAAAGTCACTAGTCACTTTTGTTTTGAAAGCAGGGTACAATGACTTGGGCAAATTTTTATGTCCTGGGCGAGGTTGCTCGTAAGTGAGCAAAATTAATCTCTGGTGGCGCATGTGTATCTAATTGTGTTGAAAACATGAATTATCTTACTTGAAGTCATTAGAAGTTGAGAACTCACTCATTTGAGAGAGACGTCAGCGGGACCGCAAATGGCGAGCAGACGAGGCAGGCGGATGAAAAGGACCTCAACCGTGCAAAATGTAAGCAACACCCGAGGCCAAGGCAGGGATGGCGCCTCCTGATGTCTCCTGGTCTAAAACGGCACGCAGGGCTTTAATTAATCCATGCGTGAAGCCACGCGCGAGTGTCTTCGGCATCCACATGAAACCTGCAGTGAGAACAGAAATTAATGCGCGGGGATGGGGGGTTTGATGCTGATCAATGAACATGTGGAGGGAGGTGGTGTTCATCCATCTGAGCTGGAGCTTATCCCAGCTGACGTTGGGTCGCCACCTTTTAAAAAGCAGACGAGGTACGTCATAAATGTTCCAGGACTCTTGTCACAAAAACAACAGATATTTTATATCCAAATGACAAACTACCATTTTTCGACTTCAATTTGGGCCAGACGATTACCCAACACGTCTCGAAAGGGATCTCGTCTCGTTCAGTGCACGAGAAGAGGTAAGAATTGTGAATGGGCAACTTGAAGGCTGCTTCACCATGACAACACACCTGCGCAGAACCCTGAAGATCTGAAAAACAACCCCAACATCGCCAAGGGGAGCCATTCTCATGACCTCAAGATGGTGGTGACAACTGAGCTGTTGAAGAATCCTTTCAGGAGTGCACAAAGGTGTGGCAGAGAAGGCCGGCCGGGGATGCTGCGTTCCACCCCAGGAATATTACATAGAAGGGAAACCTTGCAGTTAGTGGTTCGGATTTGAAATATATAATTTGTGATACAGCACGTACATCGTGCCTGAATTGCGTTTCCGAAATGTCAGCTTTTGGGCGATGTGGAAGGAAACCCACTGTAGCCCACATGCAAACTCTGAACCTGAAATGTGAGGCATGAAAGCCAACCACTAGTCCAGTGTGCTGCCACGAAGGAGATTAAGTGAAACGAACGATACCCAATCAAATTACACTTATCACACATTTTGAAGACATCTCATAGAGATTTTATGCGTTCCAATACAACGTATACAACCACCATAAAATATGAACGTAACTCTATAGATTAATTCTAGGTGATACCATAGAGAAGTCTGCATCTAAAACATATCTAAAAAAACAAATAAACATGTTTTGAACATACTGTACGTTTTAAAATGGAGGTGGCGGGAAGTGCATTTCAGTGAAGGTTGTTGTCCCACCACAAGAGGGCAGCGGGAGTCCAGTAGAGTGGCACTCTTGCTCACCACAACCACATGATGGACAGCACACCGAATAAATGTGTTTATTTCATCCACATAATAAATAGAAAGAATCCAAAGCAATGACACCTGACTGGAATAGAGGCTAAAATATCTCGGGGTGTGAAAGGAATCAAGTTTGAACGGTGATTATTGTATCTTGGACTCGGAGTGGAGAGAGCTTCTGCTACAGTTATCACATTGCCAATGAAACAAAGAAGCCAACATGTACTATACCGTGTATATATACGTATGTATAAAAAGAAACAGAAAATAAATCACACCACTTTAATCTAAAAACACACGCACGCGCACACAGAGCGGCTCTGGATGAACATATTCGAGAAATGGGCAATTAATCAATGTATTGTGCTTCTTTAGGCAGCATAGCAAGCTAGCTAAGAATAAAACAAGAACTGAGCACTCCCGTTTTTCTCCATGGCTTGATGACGTGATTAAACAACAACACTGCACAACTGATCAATTATTTTGCCCATCCCTGTTGTTTAAAACACTTAAAAAAAAAAAAAAGAATACAGCACAACGACGAGGAACAAAAACTCGCAGTGCCTCAGACTGGTGTGCTAGTGTTAGCAGTGAGGCTAATTGATCTTGACGAAATATTTGTCTTCAAACTTGAGAAAATCAAATACAGCTGCAGCAACACACACAAGCACACACATTTAGCATCAACACACGTGTCAATATTGTTAACCTAATAGCGTCTTAGCCTAAGTCATTTTTATCAGAATGTAAGACTATCAATACAAAATAGCTATGTGATTTCTTAAAAAAAAAAAAAAAAAAAAAAAAAAAAAGATTGTTTTTTTTTTCGTTAAGTCTGTCCAGATTTTCAGTGACGTACATCATGCAAATCCAGCAAGTGTGAATTTGTTGTGTTTTTGATGTTTTGCAAAAACACTCAAAAATGACTTAAGCATTTATCCTATTAGGCATAGTTAGTTGCAGGTAGTCCTAAAACTGTCTGGAATCTATGTGTGACGAATCAAAACAGCAAGATTGAGAGTGACATAAACAAACAAACAAACAAACAAACAAAAACAACAACAGGTTCAATCCAGTGTTGAGAGAGTGTAAGAAGCACTCAGCTTATTTATATTCAGAGAGACAACATGTTCAGTCCTTTTTTTTGTTTTTTGGGATCCCTAAATGCTCCCTTTTTATTCTTGGCACTTAATGGTCGAAGCTAAACGCAGCTTCGAAATCCTTAAAGACAATAAGAGCTTTTTTTTTCCTCCACAATGCTGCCGGACCACTTTGGATCCTCCCCCCTGAGCGATATTTGCTTCTGCTACCTGTATTCGCTAATGTCAGGAGATGCTAACAAACTTAATGAAGACACAACGTGAGTGAGTTTGAATCTGTTACTTGTGACAACAAAGCGTGTTTAGCATTAGCATTCCGATTCGGACGGCTGAAATTGTCATCTTGATTGGTTTTAACAGTCGACAATAGTTTTCTACGTGCATTCTACTGACACCGACAGGACGTAAGTGAAACTACCACGATCTGATGTACAGTGCCGCTTTTGGGTACAGTATGAGCGCTTTAATTGTTAACTTTGACGCTCCAGTTTACTGGCACAGTTGGAATGCTAACGAAGGCTCGTGGACCAGATTGCGAATAGGGCTGAGTTTGGGTCGACCGTACGCCGTCCGATGAATGCGAATGACCAAACTTGGCTACAGTTGATTTTTAAAATGGATCCAGTAGATAAAGGTAAAGTAAAAAAAAGAATAAGTATGGATATGCAATATGAAAATTTGTGGATTTCAAAAATAGTGTTCACATTTTGACATTTTATTTAAAAACCCAATTCCAACAAAGTTGGGACCTTTCTTTCATTGAATGCACTACACTACACACTACTAGATATTTCATGTTCAAACTGATCAACTTTGTTTTGAGTGAATAATCATTACCTTCGAACTTTATGGCTACAACACGTTCCAAAAAAAATGGTCAGTTTGAAGGTTACATATCTTGTCTTTGTGGTGTATTCAATGAAGTTTTGGGGGAACATGATTGGCAAATCATTGTATTCTGTTTCTGTGCTCAACACAACGTCCCAAATTCATTGGAACTGGGTTTGTAGAATGAATTCAACTGTAACGTATTATGCAGTTATTTACTCAAATAAAAGTACCGGTAGATGTAAAATGGATCAATTCATCAATTATGAAATTCTATAAATTATTTTTATTTTTTTGAAATCAACAAAACCAATTTTAGACTAAATTAATCCAATAAATATAGCATCATAAATGCTCGGTACGCCAGATAAAAAAAAAAAAGATTTCTTTTTAAAAAAATTAGCAGGCCGTATTCTTTCCACACTGCTGCGATAATAAATTTTCTTTTTTGGGGTGATTCTATACGATAAGGTATTCTAATCAGCCAAAACGGCAGGTTCTCCGAAAATGAGTTTTACGTCAGTTCATTTAAAGCAGAGCTTATTTACTGCAGAATTCTCTTTTTTTTCCCTCGTCTCGTTTTGATCCTCATTTGTACGCCATTTTAAAAATTTATCGAGACTGATGCTTGATTTTAATGACTTTCATGTTTTTCGATGACTTTAGTCACGTCTTAATATTTCTTTTCTCTTTCTGTAATGCTTTTAATGTTTGATGTGAAGCACTTTGAAATGTCTCGTACATGAAACGAGCTATACAAATAAAAATGATTGCTCACCGGTCTGCTTACATTAGCATTTTAGCATCTCGGCTGGTGTATTTTTTTTTTCTTCAGCCCGTCTCACGCTTCTTTTCGCTCAATTTTTTTTTTTTTTTTTTTAGCTCTTCATTATGACACCCTTAGTGAATATACGTAGCAGATATGAAGGTAAGTCCAGGAAATGACTGCGCTGAAGTGGTCTGATGTCACAGCGAAAAGTGCCCATGAGTCATTTAGCTTGTCACATAAATACGCCACAGTTAATAGATGAGCAGGTGGACTGTAGATGAAATACCGGGTCATCTTTGGCACACGAGTTCAGAGGATGACCCGACTTTTGCGTGTGTGCGTTAGCACCGACAGCACCGGTCAGGGAGGAGCTTTTAAGTTCAGCGACGGCCGCCTCGTGTCCACGGAAAAGCTTCCTCGTCGCGTCGGGCCGTTTGGCGTTTTAAAACTCCTTGGTCAGACCTCGCTCACCGGCAGGTCGGCGTCGTCCAGGTCCAAGGGCGGCTCGGGCACGTGCGGCTCCAGGGCGCTCCGCCGGCGCCACGGCGACTCCTCGGCGCACGGGCTCACTTGGCCAGGCGGGTCTCCTGCAGGGAGAGGCGGGCCGGGGTGCGACTGCGAGCGGGTTGGGGCAGCAGGCTCATGAAGTGCTCGCTGTCCCACGCCAGGCTGCGAGCGTGGGCCGCACGCGACGCCGCCGGCATCGCCCCAATCTGGCTGGCGGGGTGGCGCGGCGGATACGGGCGAGCGAGGGATGGGGGGGCCCGTGGGGCTGCGGTAGAATGTGGAGCGGCCGCTGTGCTCCTGCAGAACACAATCAAAACAGATTTCAAAATCAATAAAAGAAGAAACCGTGTCCTGGAGGTTAATACGAATAAAAAGGTGTTAGAAAAATGAGACCAGCCTTCTTTTGAGGCTTGGATGAGGCTTTAGCAGTGTTGGTGCTGGCAGGCTGGAGGACGGTAGCATTGTTAGAGTGAAGATGGCGGAAGTAGCACAAGTTGTAGTAGCAGAAGAAGAAGAGGTAGCGGGAGGAGTGGAGAGTCAGCGGGGTTTTTAGTTTGGTAGTCGGGACATGTTGCTGAGGTGGAAGTAGAAGAAGGAGAAGGAGGAGGAGGAGAAAGCCTTAGGAGGCATCGGTGCTCAGCAGCTTGTCGCTCTCAGATTTCAGTCTCTGGAAACACACAGCACACGGGTCAGACGCCGGAGGCAGGCGACGGCGGTGGGCGTCTGGCCAAAATGCTGCTTACACAAACGCTAAAGTGTCACATGTCAATACGCGCGCGCTGCGGATCCTGCGCTCGTGCAGGATTTGGAGGCTGACTAACATTTTGGAGGGAAGAGTGCAAAACGTCAAAAATTCCCAATCATGCCGTGAAGATACGTCGCTCCAGTGTTACCATTGTCGCCATCAAGGACGTGATGGATGATGTAAATCGACATTTTAGAAATAGATTCTTTCATGAAATGTGAAAAGTCGCCGTGATAAAGCCGGCAGCTCGTTTGCATTATTGCTCAAGTTGTGGTTGTGAATGCTTCAAAGAGTGCAAGCCAAAGTGGTTTAGAATCGCCAATTTAAATGGCCGAACAAGCCAAAACATTTCTGTGTCATAAATCTGTGACATCTTACGTACAGTATGTGCCCGGCGTGTTCCAAATGGTGAGTCATTTTACAATTTCGAGTTATATTTCATAGTCGTTCACTTTTTGTGATGGCAATTAGGGAATGTTAAAATGTTACTTCAAAACGGTGCAGTTTATGCGGGATTTGTGATGGCGAGCTTGAGCTCAGAATTCAATTGATTTTTTTATGGTGCAGTTTATGCGGGCGAGCTTGAGCTCAGAATTCAATTGATTTTTTTATTTATTTCATGTCGGAAAATAGAAGACGTTGGAAGTCAATCGGCATCACAGAATGAATTCGACTCTACTTTGGAAGTTCTACAGACTCGTAGTACCTCGAGGTTAAGTTTTGCCGCCGTTTTGTATTTTCATGGGGGTCCTCGGTTTATGATGGAGCAGAGTTGGGAACCCAAAACTGCACGTACTAGTCTACCACGAATCGAGACTAGTGCCGTATTATCCCCTCTCCTTTTCTATTTTCCAAACATTCAATCAAATGTTTCTTAGCATTTTTGGGACAATCCCCCCCCTCCACTCCACAATGCATTTGAGTGGGTGTCAATTTTTCGCAAATTCCGGCTATTCGTGGGCTAATCCTCCGCGACTGGAAAATTAAAAACATGAAGGACGGCAGTAACCGCGCAGGCCTCCTTGACGTATTAACCTCGAAAATGTGGCGACCGCCATTAACCAAGGATCCCCTGGGCACAAATGAAACATGTACAGTACACGTGGGATGTTACGAACACAATTAGCGCTAGGCAGGCGCGGGGGCGCAACGACAGAAACGGTACTGGTGCGTTTACGGGGGGAAAAAAAAAAAAAAAGATGGGTGGGAGGAAAAAGACATACAGGCTTCGGACGGGAGGGAGGAGGAGACACAAGCAGGAAGTCACACATCTAAGACAGGTGCACAGCTGCAGCAGGCTGCAGAGAGAAATAGAAGGCAACGAAGGAGGGCGGGGAAAGAGAGAAAGAGAGAGAGAGGATGTGAAAGACGCACGGAGAACAGGAGGAAACAACGTTCATGTAGCAAGTGTGCACTGGTGTGTGTTTGCATTCTTTTTCAACTGATCATGGCAAGTCAAAAGAGGCGGGAGGAAGGCAGAATGATCGGGGGGGGGGGTTAGATCATTTATTGCCTTCTTCGGCTGCACGTGCGCCACGCTTGCGGCCGAGTCAACTCCAGCCGGCAAGCCTACGTGACCAAACGTCTAGCGAGGAGCATGAAAGAGGCAGCGGGAGGGCGTGAAGGGAAGAACGGGAGCTCTCGATGGGTTATCAGCCATATTCAGGGTGTGGTCGGGTTTATTGAGAAGTGGGGAAGGGAGGGGGTGGAGGAAAAAAAGGGGGGGGGGAGCGTCAGAAGCGTCGTGATGAGATCTGAGCCGCTCGAGGAGGCGGGGCCGGCCAGTGAGTAGAAAACAGCGTTAACAGTAAAAACCAAAAGGTGTTGCTTCAAAAGGAAGGGGTGGGTTGTTTTGGTTTGTTTTGTTTTTGCTTTTTTTAAAGACGAGCTGACGTACGTGCTGCTGCACTCCCCAATTCGAGACGTATACCTCTGTATACAGGGGTTCGACAGCCGTCTGGCCTGCCGCATCTGCAACAACATAGCGCAAAGCAGGGTTAGAGCAGATGGGCTGTCTTGCCCGAGGAGAGAGAGGGAGGACGGGGGACGAAAAAGATGCGAGAGAGAGAGAGAGAGAGAGAGACAGACAGGAACACAACAGGTGGCCGGGGGAGGGAACAGCTGTGTCACCGCGTCGGGCACACGTGTCCAAACAAAAAGACAAAATGGAGCCAGCGTTTTCCCTTGCGAGTGACGCGAGGCTCCATCCGGACTCTCTTGATTATTTAAGTTTGAAGTCATGTGGCATGCGGTGAGACACGTCTGGGGGGGGGGGGTCAGTCACAAGCCATTAACATCCACTGCATGCACAATACAACGGCATGAAAGCCCCCTTTTTCTATAATCTGGCGGCACTATTCGGCTTTATAGCGTCCGACGAGACCCTTGCCAATTTTGCGTCGCTTACCTACTTCCAAATTTTGGAACCTGGCAACTTTGGGCTGGGAAAACTCACCTATTGGCATGTTCCCGTCACAGCCTGAGCTGACGGCCATTCACCCTGCTCTTTCGAAAGAGTCGTGTTAGCAGAGGAGCAGCAGCCTGGTTTCCAGATCAAGTTCTATGCCCTGGTATGCTTTTCTTTTTTTCTCCTCCCTCAATCGTAAGACAATTCAGCGCACGAGTGTAACAGCTGCGTCTTCCTGGTTATGTTTTTTTCCCCCCACTAGTGCTTCTTTTGGCCACCTAATACCAGAAGCTTGATCACATTTCTGATCATTTGAATGAGGTATGTCGGAGCAGGGAGAAGATGGAAAACAGGCAGGAACAGCGGGCGCTTGAAGGACAGATTTTGGACACCCCGAAATTAGTCAATCAACCTCAAGTAGACACCACAGTGTTGTCCGGTGCAATTTCCAAATCGCAAAGGTTGTAATTTGGGGCAGTTTTGATATCCCGCTCGTTCGGAAGCCATCAAATGGCACCGCGGGCAAGCTGAGCTGAACACAACCGCGTATTGGAAACGAGGCTTCTGATTTCACGGAGGCCGTAGTTGTGCAGTCGATGGCGCGTTTGGCGTCTCTTCAAAGTAAAAACTACTCGTGATGTTCTGCGGAGTGAGTGGCACGTACTGTGGCGGCAGACCTCCCGGGTCCACGCTGGGCCACGATAGCCCCCGAAACGGCCTTGATCCAGCTGTGCATCTCCTCTGGACTGTCGGCCTGGGAGAGCAAGTTGAGTCGAGTTTTAACTTTCACAAATGAATCAGCGTGCGGTCAAAACTTTGCAGCTACGTTGCGAGACTGAGAGGGGCATGGGTGCACGGACAATTATTCATTTCAGTCTGTGATAGAAGTTACCTGGATGTAAAACGTCCTGGACGTGGTGACGACCTCAAACAAATTGTCACGCATCATGATGTCACTGGAACCCAAAAGGACAGGTCACGCCGTCACATTTTTTACCGTCTCTCAAACCAGACGGCGAAGAACTTCGCTTGTTCCGTACCTCTGTTTGCACTCCTGCACTTTGTGAACTTCCTTCAGCGGGATCATCCTCAGCGGTTCTTTTTCCTGCCGGTGGGAGAACGGTAAGACGCGATGAACGCTTTCATTTATTCGAGCACATTGTTCTGAAATCTTGAGCCGATAATGAGCCCGTCTTGCAGCAGACACGGAGTCTGTGTCCTCGGGGCCTGCTGTTATCTCATCACAATGACTGTGCGCGCGTGTGTGCGCGCGCGCGTGAGCGACTTCAACTGACAAGGGAGGACCGAAGGCCGCAGGGGCGCGAGGCATGACAGGACATGTGAAGGGAGGCCGATGAAATTCCTCTGACTGCAGATAAAACATGCCAGGACACGGCGCGATGTGCTCGCCGTTTTTTTTGCCTGCCCTCGCAACTGCAGAGCTGATTCTTATCCGCAAGTGTCACAGATTTAGAAAAAAAAAAACAAAAAAAAAGCCCACAAGATTCCTAAAGAGCTGGTTGTAACTCAAGAGCCAATTTACCAGATCGGACTTGAAGTAGCTCATGGAGTTTTCCTCCAGGAGAAAATATCGCCGTTTCCAGTTCCTCATCTGGGGAAGGAAAAAAATGTGGAGGTTAGATATCAACATTGCTGTTGCCGAGTTGCTTTACACGATATGTACTCAACAGACATTTCATTTGGAGCACATTCAATTGGGCAAAAATCAATCAATTCCCCCCCAAAAATGTGTGTGTGTGTGTGTGTGTGTGTGTGTGTGTGTGTGTGTGTTTTTGCGTTAAGTGCATTCATGTGTGCTGTTTTGATAAAATAATAAAAATAATGCTTCCTTTTCCCTGAACCCATAGCAATATCATTATCGAAATATCTGGCATGAATATCAAGATATGAAACGTACTGTCCAGCAGCCCTAATACGTATCTTAGGTTGGCCGCAAGTGACACGGTTGCAGGAACTTGCAAACACACACCGTGCGGATTGGCAACGTCATCGTTTTTTTATTGATCCGTTTTTTTTTTTCATCATGAGGAGCCCAAATCAAAATCATCCTTCAATTTAGATTAATTGCCACTGCGATATGATTACTGTGTTGAACTGTTGATTCTGTGTTGAAGGGATTGGCAGAAGCTCACCACGGCGCCTTGCTTGACGCAGTAGCCCGACTTGATGACCGTGTGGTCCTGGGTCGGCCTGCCCAGGAAGTAGGGCAGCTGGCTGTGCGAGCGGTGCATGGCCTCGCGTTCCGCTCGCTCTGCCCCGTCGCCGCCTTCATGCTGGAAAGGTTGAGGATGACTGGGTGAGCTTGTGCAAAAAAATGATGTGAAGGACATTGGCTCTTTTTTCCGGTCACAGCCGAGCTGGAGCCTCGCCCAGCTGACTTCCATGGACCTTATGTCAATGCCGAGAATACCACACAGGAACTCCAGGGCCGAGAATCGAACGCGGAACCTCAGAGGTGTGAAGCAGAAGTGTTACCCATTCAAATCAGGACGATCGCAAAGTTGCAACTTTTTGTGATGGACAATGTCACTCGCGGGACTGGAATGCAGTAAGATAGCCCAAGAAGTGGCTTACCTTAGCACTGTCTCAATTCAATTTAATGATCACATTATTTCCATCTATGGGACTGGACAATTAAAAAAAAAAATTGCCTTGCATGTTTTTTTTCCTCCTTCCATAGTTGAGCAAAAACAATTAAATGACCCTCATTCATGCCACCTACAGGACTGGAGTGGAATAGCATTGCCCCCTGACGTCAGGATTTTTCAAAAGTTTTGAGACACGCATTTGGGCCTGCGCTTTACTGTCATATTAGTTTCATCTATTGCTCCGCTAGCTATTAAAAATAAGCCCTAAACAAAAAGTGACTCATTGTTTTGTTCATAAAACGTTGACTCAATGTTTTCAGGCAAAAGCTGTTTGCCTTTTTGACACCGGCATGAATTTTTGTTTACCTGCGTCTGGGTCACAATGGGAACTCCTCCTATGATCTCCGTTTTATAGGACACTTGTTTCTTGGGTCCCACGGCATCCAGCAAAGACTTGTGGTTCTCGGAATTCTGCTGACTATCGGAGGCTTTCGGAACCTGAGGAAAACGCAGACGCAGGCCAAATGATGGGAAAACACTCTTTTCCTTGCGTGAAAAATTCAAAGTTCAAACAAATTGTGCAAACCAACATCTGCGCACAGAGACTGACGCAGCACTTTATTATGATTGTGCCGGGATGTCAAGGCATCACGGCACGGCAAAGACGCCAAGCAGCCTTTTATCCCTGGACACCAGTTAACAACTACACAGCATCCTGTTAGTCGCGCTCACTCACATCGACTTTCATCATCTCAGTCCCCTCGAGAAATAAAGCGCATTTCCTTCTTCAAGTGACTCGACAGAAAAGAAGAGCGGTTCATCCGAAGTCAAAAGAAAGGAAGCGCGCGTCACGCGGTCGTCTTTGTTCGCCTCACCGTGATCTTGGTGGCTTTATTGAGTGCGTTGACCCAGTCCACCAGGTCCTGCTGATCGTTGGCCTGCAGGAAGACCTTCCTCATCCCAGCATTGATGACTATCGAAGCCAAACACAAACGGAGCGAGTGTAGGGTTAAGCGTGAGAGTTGCTATGGAAGTGTGATGCTGACAAGTAGTACACAAAAATACGATCTGGGCTGCTGGCGGAGATCTGATTTGGATTAAAAAAACAAAAACAAAACTGCACCACAGAAGTCAGTGAGTTTCTCTGCCCGTGATGTGACAGCTAGGCACGGTGAAGATCCAGAGCTATTTTCAAACAATGGTTGTTGCACGACACCACGGTTAGGGAACTCCGCTTCCTCAAGAGCCATATCCTGTCTCCTACACACAAATGCACCCTGATTCAAACAATCGGGTCATCAGCAAGCTCTGGAGAAGCCTGAAATGATCCTGATCATTTGAATTCGGTGTGTTGGAGTAGGGAGAGATCTAAAACAGGCAGGATATGGCTCTCGAGGAACCGGAGTTCCCTACCTCTGCACTATGCGTCTGGAATAGAAAATAAGTTACCGGTACTTACAATAGCCACTGTAAAATCTAACTAAGTGATTACATCATTTCTATTCCTAACCTCGCTTGTTGCACGTTCCCAACGTGGCAAATTATTCAAATAGTACAACCTCAAGGTCATGTTTCACCGTGCTCCAAAGTGATCACGAACAGTACCCGTTTCACCCTGCTATCACAAAGACATTCTCAGAAAAAAAAAAAAAAAAAAAGAAAGAAAGTGGACTCGGAAAGACTTTTTTTTTTTTTTGGTCTACTTGTGCATGAGTCTGCAGAACTCAACTGCCTCATTGTGCAACCGCCTACACATTTCTCAGCATGACAAAGATGGTGGGGGCG